ATAGAAATGCTGCATGGCCAGCGGAAAAGGGCGGACACCAGCAGTGACAGACCTGGGAAGCAAATGAAAAGAAATGCTGCATCACCAACGGAAAAGGGCGGACACCAGCAGTGACAGACCTTGGCGGACAAATGAATATAAATGCCGCGTGGCCAGCGGAAAAGGGCGGGCACCAGCAGTGACAGACCTGGGAGACAAGCGAAGTAAATTGTTTTGGGAAAAACAAGGTTCCACGGCGTAGTTAGTGACCCTGAGGTTTCGGGGGACTTTGCCAAGGATGGTTTTTGCTGAGGTTGTTATCATTCAAAAGGGAGGGCTTTGGAGGATTTCATCTTTGGAGTGCAAAGCAAGGTATCCTTGAACTAGTGAAAGTGTATTTTACACGACCCCAGGTCTTCTTTCCTCCCCGGTCAGGTTGTGCGTTCAATCTGGTTTCAGGTGGGACGCTTTTTCGTAGCTGTTTTTTGGGTTACTTTGCTTTTCGTCTTGGTAAAAGTCATGTCTGACATACATGGTGGTTGATCAAAACTCCATCTTCCTGAAACGCAACTCTTCGCAAAAAAAGAGTTTACTTTCAAGTCTTTCGTGAACTCCATTTTAAATTTCGTGGGGTCACCTGGTTCTATCAAAATGAAAAGCTCTGCTACCCATGGCTCGCTCATCTACCTTGGTGAAGCAGCGCAAATGGCATAAGATACTTGCGGTTAGCGCCCAAGTGCGTTGTTCTTTTCATTCGATGTAGACGTGACCTGGCAGCGTCACCTTGCAGCGGCACCGGCATCCAAGCTCCAACGCCAACACGATCACACACATCTGGCACCGGCATCCTGCAGCCACACCCTGCAGCAGCACCAGCACAAGCTCCAAAGAGCACACGTCCATAGGCATTTGGCAGGCACCCGCTCTCCGCAGTAGCACCCTGCAGCGTCACCCACTGCCATAGACATCTGGCGGCAGCCTTATGCCGACCTTTCAATCAACTACCACATGCAGTGGGCGGCTCCCATATGACATCAAGCAAACTGTTTTTGCTCAGTGGCCCATCGCCTTGCGACAGAGCTCTCCCACTGCCATGTTCAAACAAAACATGTGACATCATCTTCGAAGCACATCCAAACCAACGTCATTAGCCCCCTCCCACCCCCACCCCCATCCACTCAACGGAACCTATCAAACATCAACCCACATGCATACCTCTAATGTCATCCAAGAAAAAAAACAGCCGTTGGCCAAAACAACATCTTCATCTCAAATGTCTGCACACCCTAATTTATGTGCTCATTTCCCCTCATCGTTGCAGCAGCCCCATGGCATATTTAAAATAAGTCTTTCATCTGGCAAACACATGCAAAAACCAAACAGAACAGCCACAAGGCACTTGCTGGAAATAACATGCATCACATGTACATCGAATCAAATGTTGATATTTGTTCATACAAGTATGCTTCAGGAGGAAGAACGTGTGTTCTTTTTAGCAGTTCTTGCCGCAACCGCAACATGTATGTGGATCAGCAGCGAATTAGGAAGTCCATTTCGCGTGGCCAGTGTGTGACGGTCAACTAGCACCCGCTGTTCAATTTATTAATGACATTACAAACGTTGGAGGGAGGAATTTCGAAGGCTTGAGGTTCCATCAGTGTGTTGCAGGATTCTATGGGAAAGGGTTGTCAGTTTGGAGCCTTCGAATAAAAACCTTTGTCCTGGTGGTGTATACAACTCCTGTGCCTCTTCCTCCTGCAAAGACCAGGCAAGTCCGGGCGATCGTATCTGCACCTGAAGTGGCACTATTGCAGGCAAGTCAAGCCGACAATTCACTGTACCCACTTACAAGCTTGCTTGCAATGCGTGCAACACTCAAATGCTGAACAAGCACACCTGGAGTACCCTTCATGCTCTGTGCGAAGAAACCCCCTCAATTGCTCTTTGTTGACCAGTACATAGTCCTGCGTATCTTTTGCTGCTTTGTTGAAAAGGGGGGCTGGCTTCCTCGGGCTCTTGAGACACAACATTGAAATGCTCGTTCTGTGTAAAGTGCTTGTTCCAAAGACTTGTGAATGCCCTCGGCCTCCTCTTTGTCTTCTTGACCTCATGCAAGCTCTAGTGGAGGTGGGTTGGGTCGAGCCGAGCCTGTTCTGGAGTTGATCCAGAGTCTAAAGTAAGCCCCAAACTCTTCTCAATGACTTAACGAAGCCAAACATAACATCATAATTAATTGAAATGCAAAGACATCCGGACTTTCTCAAGATTTCTCAAGTCTTGACTTGTAGACGGCAAAGATCTCAGGGAACGTACAGTAACGGTACGCATACAAACCCCAACGAAGACCGCAAAAAATCGTCGGCCGAAGCCTGCCTGCAGCCTTTGCATCATTCGCCTGCGTCCATGGCGATCATTGGCGCTTTATTGCTGAACTGTTTGCCGAGAGAGGGATTCAGTGCAGCTAGGTGCTAGAGTCTCTCCCATCTCATTGTACTAGTCTAGTTATATATTGCACTATCAACATACCAAAAAGCTGGCTCACCGTTTCACCACCACGACTGTTCCTGTTCAAGTCGTCAGCAATGTGTTGAAGCTGCATAGTTCCATTCAATTCCGAAACACGCAAGCAGTGAACGACTCCTCAGCTTCAAGCTCAAGTCAACCATGAGTATATAAACGTCCCAAGCACAAATATGATCCTATCAAATCTTATCTTGTCAGTGTAAATTTATCATAATCTATCAAACATGTGTTTAGTGGCTCTTATGCATGTCTTGTCCGGCTCCGACTTTAGTGCGAGCAACTCTCCAATGCACCAAACAATCAACTTCTTCCAGTCATCCTCAGCTGCTTCACC